CCGGATTTGCTCCTTAATTCTGGGTCCTTCCAGTAATAGCTATTGATTGATTATCTTGCCGGATCTTCAATGCTTCTTTTCCTTTTTAACTCTTTAATCAATCTCGGATTGATTATCTCGCCGGATCTTCAGTGCTTTTTTTCCTTTTGAATGCTTCAATCAATCTTTGATTGATTTCTTCCTTCAGCTTGGATTGTTTCTCTTTGTGCACTTCGATCTTGGTTGATTTCCTTGAGTCCCTACACCAAAAGTAATTATATTATTTTTCATCATTAAAACTAATACCTAACAATCTTCCCCTTTTTGATGATGATAAAAAAATAATATATGTAAACATCAGTTAACTTTCCTGTATTTTACTCCCCCTCAATGAGTGCAGTTGACTCCCCCTCAATAGGTGCCGTTGGGACTACTTCTTTTAGTCGACTTCTCCTGTAGTATCTATAGTCGACTCCCCCTGCAATGGATGTACCTGCACAAATATATGTATAGCCCTCTCCCCCTCTTTGATATCAGCAAAGAGGGGATAAAAACAACAATTCACCGGATACTAAAGCAGAATTTGTAGCATGATATGCATGCAGAGTTATATAAAAAAATCATCCAACGACTGGTTATCCAGTCCAAAACATGCAAGAAATAAGTAAGAGTGTTGCAAATCGCCTCCTTCAGTTGATCAAAGCTAGAATTAGTTGAGACAGTCACTCCATCAAGCCTTTCGTGTACTTCCTTGAATGGCTTGACTACGTTTTCCCTAACTCTGAGAATTGCAATCCCTATCTTTGAAATATCAGACCATGTCTCTTTGGAGATTGAATGAATGTCCCCAACAGTGGACTGAGTGGCATCAAGAAGATCTTTGATGGTGGTCAGCTGGTTGTCAATGGCAGTCAGTTTCTCAGCAAAGTCAGGATTACTGAGACTGTGATGGAAAACAGAGGCTTTGGTCTTGGGATCAGGTTGAACATGCTTGATCTCACCTTCTTGTTTCTTAACCCAGGAGCCCTTCACACACACACATATCCCATAGTAGCAAACGCACTAGAATTGTACGATTTTGAAACAGAGACGAATGGATATTCAGAGATAGAGATATTATGAGCTTCCAGAATGTGAGTGATGGCCATGCCATAGGGCAGACTGGTGGGATTATCAGCACTTACAATCATAAAATTTGAGGATAGTTTGATCTTGAGTTTGGTCACAAGGCAATAGACAAGAAAGGTATCTCTTTGAGAGAAGGTGGAGAAGGAGCCTGTATGAGGGAGCAGAGTAGTTGCAACAATGTGGGCTAGAACACGAGTTTCAAAGCTAACATCACTTGGACCTAACTGGTTCGGGATGTATTCAGATGAACACTCAGCAATACAATATTTTTCTTGATCAAAGGTGATTTCAAAATCATCAGGCCAAGAATTTTTGAAAAGCATGGGAAAACCAGAACACTTACACTGGAAAATTGAGTCAAACACGGCACAATCAAGAACGATGCGCTTTCCTAACACTAAGGATTCCAAATTGGAAGACTTACTAGAGTGAAGATTGGCATAAAACATTCTCACTAGGGGTTCATAGACTTTAGGAGGGGGAACGGAAAAGAATTTTGACCAGCCTTGATAAACAAACCGATCTTTTACCTTACAGTTTAGGGCTTTCATGTTATCAAGGTCGAGTATTCTGCCATGAGCGATTGGCTTGTCTTTCAGAGCAATAAAAAATTCCCTGCTTGGAGAATCCTAGAAATTTAGGTCAGACTCTAAATAACTTGAGAGATCGATTTTTGATTTCTTTGGAGTAAAAGATTCAGGAGGTTCTTCCAAAGGTCTTTTTCCTAGGGCTTTTTCTCCTACATGATGAGAATGATCTGAGAGTTCTTCCTGAGATGAGGCAAAGCCTTCTGAGTAGTTGGACCCTAGGTATACTTGTTTTGGAGGCTGGGAAGAAGGTTTTTCTCTGGAGCGAGTACTTTTCCTGGTGGAGGCTGAGGGATTTTTAGAGTGTTTAGCCATGAAAGAAACTGGATGAAGAGAGTTTCTGAGAAGGTTTCTAGGCAATGGGAACGATGGAGATTGGAAGAGGATTTCAGAGATTTAAAGAAGGATTTTCTAACGGTTGGCTACAGGAAAGGAAAGGGTGTCAGTTGAACAGGCGTGATGAATGGTTTTCCTTTCTTGAACGCTTTAACTGATGTGAAAAGAGAGGAAAAGAGAGGGAATTCGGAGGCGCTATTAATGACTATGAAAAGACAAATTTTAAACATTAGGCATACTAAACATAAAGATATCACATAGGTCCTAATATTAATGATCAATGGAAACAATACCAAGTAATTCTCTTAAAAAGAAAAATTTGTCTTCAAGTAAAGGTTTAGTGAAAATATCTGCTAATTGATTAGTAGTTCCAACAAAAGATAATTCTATATTTCCCTTAAGAACATGATCTCTAATGAAATGATTATTGATGTCTATATGTTTTGCCCTAGAGTGATGCACATGATTTTTTAAGAGACATATAGTGCTAGAGTTATCATAGAAAATTGGAATGGATTTAAAGAATAGTTCATAGTCACCCAATTGATGAGACATCCATACTAATTGTGCATAACATTGTCCAATGGGGATATACTCAGCCTCAGTTGTGGATAGTACAACTGATCCTTGCTTTTTACTGTTCCAAGATACCAGTGCTTTTCTAAGTAATTGGCATGTTCTGCTGGTGCTTTTTCTGTCTTCCTTATCATCTGCAAGATCAACATCCGAAAAACCTTCTAGTTTAAAATTGTTAGAGCGTGGATACCATAATCCGTGAGAAATAGTTCTAATGAGATATCGAATAATTCTCTTTACTGCAGTTAGATGTGATTCTTTAGGAGCTGACTGAAACCTGGCATATTTACAAACACTAAACATAATATCTGGTCGACTGGCAGTTAGATAAAGAAGGGAGCCAATCATTCCACGATATTTAGTTTCATCAACAGGATTTCCCTGTTCATCTTTGTCAAGACTTGTTGAAGGACTCATTGGTGTGCCAATAGCTTTAGTCTTACTCATACCGAACTTCTGAATCAACTCCTTTATGTATGTTTTCTGACATAAAAACATTCCTTCTTCAGATTGTTGAATTTGAAGTCCAAGGAAGAACGTTAGCTCTCCCATCATACTCATTTCAAACTCACTTTGCATAAGATTTGAAAATTCCTTACATAGAAGAGGATTTAGCACTACCAAAAATAATATCATCAACATAAACTTGAATAATGAGATTACCTTCCAATGATCTTTTAATAAAAAGGGTAGTGTCTACTTTACCTCTTGTAAATCCGTGATCAATAAGAAATGAGTTGAGTCTTTCGTACCATGCTCGTGGAGCTTGTTTAAGTCCATATAATGCTTTGGTCAATTTGTACACATCGTAAGGAAACTTTGAATCTTCAAATCCAGGGGGTTGTTTTGCATAAACCTCCTCCTCAATAAAACCATTTAAAAAGGCACTTTTGACATCCATTTGGAAGAGCCTAAATATTTTAAAGTATTATTTAGCTTATTTCTGTTGACCTCGTAGTTGACTCCTTGTATGCTCATCCATTTGGAGGATAGTTTGATCTTTATTTTGGTCACAAGGCAATAGACAAGTAAGGTATCTCTTTGAGAGAAGGTAGAGAAGGAGCCAGTACGAGGGAGCAGAGTAGTTGCAACAATGTGGTCTAGAACATGAGTTTCAAAGCTAACATCACTTGGACCTAACTGGTTCGAGAGGGATTCAGATGAACACTCAACAATACAACGTTTTGCTTGATCAAAGGTTATTTCAAAATCATCAGGCCAAGAATTTTTTAAAAGCATGGGAAAACCAGAACACTTACACTGAAAAATTAAGTCAAATATGGCACAATCAAGAACGATGCGCTTTCCTAACACTAAGGATTCCAACTTGGCAGACTTACTTGAGCGAAGATTGGCATAAAACACTCTCACTAGGGGTTCATAGACTTTAGGAAAGAAAACAGAAAAGAATTTTGACCAGCCTTGATAACCAAACAGATCTTTTACCTTACAGTTTAGGGCTTCTATGTCATCAAGGTCGACTACTCTGCCATGAGCGATTGGCTTGTCTTTTAGAGCAATAAAAAATTCCCTGTTTGGAGAATCTCAGAAATTTAGGTCAGACTCTAAAAAACTTGAGAGATCTATTTTCGATTTCTTTGGAGTAAAGGATTCAGGTGGTTCTTCCAAAGGTCTTTTTCCTAGGGCTTTTTCTCCTAGAGGATGAGAATGATCTGAGAGTTCTGCCTGAGATGAGGCAAAGCCTTCTTAGTGGTTGGACCCTAGGTCTACTTATTTTAGAGGCTGAGAAGAAGGTTTTGCTCTGGAACGAGTACTTTTCCTGGTGGAGGCTGAGGGATTGTTAGAGTGTTTAGCCATGGAAGACACTGGTTGAAGAGAGTTTCAGAGAGGGTTTCTAGACGATGGGAACTATGGAGATTGGAAAAGGGTTTCAGAGATTAACAGAAAGGGTTTCTGATGGTTGGGTACAGGAAAGAAAAGGGTGTCAGTTGAACAGGCGTGATGACTGGTTTTCCTTTCTTGAACACTGCAACTGATGTGAAAAGAGAGGAAAAGAGAGGAAATTTGGAGGCGCTATTAATGACTATGAAAAGACAAAGTTTAAACACCAGGCATACAAAACATAAAAATATCACATATGTCCTAATATTAATGATCAATAGAAACAATACCAAGTAATTCTCTTAAAAAGTAAAATTTGTCTTCAAGTAAAGGTTTAATGAAAATATCTGCTAATTGATTAGTAGTTCCAACAAAATATAATTCTATATTTCCCTTAAGAACATGATCTCTAATTAAATGATGCTTGATGTCTATATGTTTTGCCCTAGAGTGATGCACAGGATTTTTCGAGAGGCATATATTGCTAGAGTTATCACAGAAAATTGGAATGGGTTTAAAAAATAGTTCATAGTCACCCAATTGATGAGACATTCATAGTAATTGTGCACAACTTTGTCCAATGGGGATATACTCAGCCTCAGTTGTGGATAGTACAACTGAACCTTGCTTTTTACTGTTCCAAGATATCAGTGTTTTTCCAAGTAATTGACATGTTCCGTTGGTGCTTTTTCTGTCTTTCTTATCACCTGCAAGATCAGTATCTGAAAAACCTTCTAGTTTAAAATTGTTAGAGCATGGATACCATAATCCGTAAGAAATAGTTCCAATGAGATATCGAATAATTCTCTTTACTGCAGTCAGATGTAATTCTTTAGGAGCTGACTGAAACCTGGCACATTTACAAACACTGAATATAATATCTGGTCGACTAGCAGCTAGATAAAGAAGGGAGCCAATCATTCCACGATATTTAGTTTCATCAACAGGATTTCCCTATTCATCTTTGTCAAGACTTGTTGAAGGACTCATTGGTGTGCCAATAGCTTTAGCCTTACTCATAACAAACTTCTGAATCAACTCCTTTGTGTATTTTGTCTGACATATAAACGTTTCTTCTTCAGATTGTTGAATTTGAAGTCCAAGAAAGAACGTTAGCTCTCCCATCATACTCATTTCAAACTCACTTTGCATAAGATTTGAAAATTCCTTGCATAGAAGAGGATTAGCCCTACCAAAAATAACATCATCAACGTAAACTTGAATAATGAGATTACCTTCCAATGATCTTTTAATAAAAAGGTAGTGTCTACTTTACCTCTTGTAAATCCGTGATCAATAAGAAATGAGCTGAGTCTTTCGTACCATGCTCGTGGAGCTTGTTTAAGTCCATACAATGCTTTGGTCTATTTGTACACATCGTAAGAAAACTTTGAATCTTCAAATCCAGGGGGTTGTTTTACATAAACCTCCTCCTCAATGAAACCATTTAAAAGGGCACTTTTGACATCCATTTGGAAGAGCCTAAATCTTTTAAAGGATGCATATGCAAGAAGAATTCGTATTGATTCCAGTCGAGCTACCGGAGCAAAGGTTTTGTCATAGTCGACTCCTTCTTGTTGTGAGTATCCTTGAGCTACTAATCTGAATTTGTTTCTCAGAACCTTTCCATCCTTATTTAGCTTATTTCTGAAAATCCATTTTGTTCTAATTATAGGAGCGTTTTCAGGCTTAGGTAGTAGTTTTCGCACTTGATTTTTGTCAAATTGTTCTAGCTCTTCCTGCATTGCTTGTAACCAGCTTGAGTCTTTCAGAGCTTCCTCTATTTTCTTTGGTTCAATCTGGGAAATCAGTGCTATGTTTTCTTTCTTCTTGAGAGCTCCCCTGGTTTTCATTCCTTCGCCTGGGTCTCCTATGATAAACTTTTGAGGATATTCCGGTTCACTTCTCCATTCATTTGGACGAATTGTACTTGTATGAGTAGTTGAATCCTTCGGAGATTCTGATTGACTGTTGCTAATCTCATTAGTTGACTCCATTACACCATCAGGTTTATTAGTCGACTCTTGAGATTTGCTTGTCTCCTGAATTGTTTGAATTTGATCTTCATCACCTGCAATAATTCCTTTCTCGGCCGAATTTTTATTTTCATCAAAGATAACATGTACTGATTCTTCTACACACATTGTGCATTTATTATAGACTCTAAAGGATCTATTATTTAATGAATAACCCATAAAATACCTTCATCACTTCTTGGATCAAATTTTCCAAGATTGACCTTACCATTATTGTGAATGAAGCACTTGCTTCCAAACGGATGAAAGTAACTTATATTGGGTCGTTTACCTTTCCACAATTCATAAGGAGTCTTCTTCAGGATGGGTCTTATGAGGCATCGATTGAGAATGTGACATGGTGTACTTACTCCTTCTGCCCAGAAGTGATTTGGCAATGAATATTCTAATATCATAGTTCTTGCCATATCCTGTAAAGTCCTATTTTTTCGCTCAACAAATCCATTCTGTTGGGGTGACCTTGGAGCAGAGAAATTGTAGGTGTATCCTTGAGCATTGAAGAAATCTTCAAATGCTCTGCTTTCAAATTCTCCTCCATGATCACTTTGAATTGTTGTAATAAGATACCCCTTTTCTCTTTCGACCTTTTTACAGAAGATCTCAAAATTTTTCAAAGCTTCATCTTTGTGAGATAGAAAAATCACCCCAAGTAAAGCGTGAGTAATCATCAACAATAACAAAGGCATATCGGTTTCCTCCTATGCTAGCAGTTCTAGTGGGTTCAAATAAGTCCATATGAAGCAATTGCAAGGGCTTTGAAGTATATACAATATCTTTATTTTTGAAAAAGTTTCTAGTTTGTTTACCAATCTGACATGCATCACATACATGATTTCTAGAGAAATTGAGTTTAGGTAAACCAATAAATAAACTATGCTTGGGAAGTTTCTCTATCATATGCATGCTTGCATGACCAAGTTTCTTATGCCATAACCAAGGATCATCAGATATGGATCTTAAGCAAATATGACCATCTATATTTTCAAAACCAGCAAGAATATAGACATTTCCATACCTTTTACTTGGGATGATTATTTTACCTGTCTCATCTTCAATAGCACAACCTGTTTTCTTGAACTTTACTTCATACCCTGAGTCGCATAGCTGACTTATACTCAGAAGATTGTAGTTAAGTCCGTCAACAAGATAAACCTCAGTTATATCACAGTTATTATTGAAAGGAACTGTTCTGGTACCGACTATATTTCCTTTTGAGTCATCGCCAAATTTGACACTTCCTCCGTCTAATTTTTGTAACCTCTTTAAACAGGTTTTTGTCACCTGTCATGTGACTGGAACACGCACTATCTAAGTACAATTTTCCTTTGCGACTCCTTCTGTGGTGTTCCTGCAAAACATAATTATCACTTCCTTTTAGGTACCCAATCTTGCTTGGGTCCTTGTTGGTTAGTATTAGTGGACTCAGGATTGTTTTTGGGTTTCCAAATCCATCCTGAGATATTTGATTTACGAAATTGACAAAAAGAATATTTATGTCCACTTTTGTTACAGTAGTGACACGTAAGTCCTAATCCATTTTTGGATCTTTCATTTGTGTTAGTACTAGTGGACTTTATTCTAGCTCTCCAGTTGACTTGTAAGTTGCCTGTTTCGACTTGACAGAACTATGACTGGTGGATTTGCTCATGCCATTGAGTTGCATTTGCAATTCTTGAAACTTATCTTGAAGTACTTCTTTTTCAATTTCGCATACTTCAAGCTTGAGTTTCCAGTCTTTTACTTCTTTGTTAAATCTCTTTAGTTCATTCATCTTTTTTTTAGACTCTTTCAAAGTAAGGTCAAGAATATCCTGCAATTCATTACATCTTTCACGGTTATAAGATCTTACCTCGCTTGTTTTACCTCGCGCCATGAAATAGTTCTCATTGTCATCCTTACATTTGTCATCTGAAATGTCCTCATCTGTCCAGCACCCTGAGAGTTTGTTCATGTCGTTTTCGAGAATTGTCATCAAATATAGATTTGCTATCTCTTCGTGTTCTGAACTGTCTTCATCACTCCAGCTTCCAAATAATTTGTTCTTATTAAAACCTCTGGAAACCTTTGTTTTAAGATCAGGACACTCAGCTTGAACATGCCCAAATCTTTTACACTCATAGCATTTTCCATCATTTTGTCTTGTTCATTCTATTTCCTAGTTCGCATGGGTGGTATCCTGCCTCTTCTTGTATCCATGTATCTCCTCATTAAACCATCCATGTTCCTTGATACCATGGCAATTTCTTCTTGAAGAGCTTCAGGGTCGTCATCACTATCATTGTATGCTCTTTCATTTGTAGCCTTGAAAGTAATTGTTTTCTTCTTTTCTTCTTAGTTTGTTTTCTTGAGATGAGTTTTTTCGAAGGCTATAAGTTCTCCTCGAAGTTCATCGTATGATAATTTGTTCAAATCTTGTGATTCAAGTGTAACCACTTTTGTCTGCCAAGTAGTGGGTAGACTTCTCAGAATTTTCCTAACTTGATCACCACTTGAGTATGGTTTGTTAAAAGCTTTTAGATCACTAATAATTTTGCTATATCTGGCAAACATCTCTTCAATGGATTCGCCTTCTTTTATCTAGAAGAGTTCGTAGTCATGAACCAATATGTTGATATGGGTTTCTTTCACTTTACTGGTTCCTTCATAAGTAACTTCAAGTTTATCCCACATCTCTTTGGTTGTATCGCAATTGGAGATTTTCTCATATTCCTCACCACTTATATCATTATAAAGCAGATTCATTGCTTTAGCATTAACTTGCACAACTGTCATTTGTTCATCAGTATATTCATTTATATCCTCAGGATCAGAAGGTAGTTGAGAAGCAGCCGGCAGAGGATAGTTTCCCATTTTGATAACTCGCCAGACCTTGACATCATAAGACTTTGCGTATATTTTCATACGCACTTTCCAGTGAGAGAAATGTTTTTCATTGAAATATGGTGGCCTCACTTGCGATGTTCCTTCTTGGAAGAGTGCTCCGACAATAACTTGATTAGCCATGATCTTTTCTCACAAGCTGTTAAGCAAAAGAAAAATATGAGCCTTGCTCTGATACCAATTGAAAGTACAAGAGGAGGGGGGGGAGGGAGAGGGGGGTGAATTGCTTATTTTAAAATTAATTATTATAAGTTGACTAGTTTTTCAATTAGTTAACTAGATGTAATAGCGAGATAATAAGAAGTGGAGAATTAAAATGCAGAAGAAAAGTGCAGTAATTAAAGACACCAGTATTTTTATATTGGTTCGGATTCAATGTGAATCCTAGTCCAGTCCCCTTGGGTTGCAAGGGAGTTCTCTTTTAGTGATTGAGTTTCTTGAGTACAAAGTGAATGGTGTAGTTTACACCAACAGCTCAGTTTCTATGTCACTCATCTTTTCTTGATACAATGCCTCACCAGTATTTTTCTCTCTTTCTTCTCTAACTTGTTACACATCAGATCTAGTAGAGCTACAATGTTTGTTTTAAGTAGAACAAAGAGAGAGTAATTGGTTTGATCAAAGTATGTCTCTCTAAGACTTAAGGTTGCATATAAATACTTTGTAGGAGACTGTTACTAAAGAGATTTGCCAACCCAAGAGATTTGATCCTTGAAAAGAAATTGATTCTTTCCAAGAATAAGGTTAATTCCCATTACTCTTCCTTGATGTGTGGACTTTGACAGCTTTCCATTTTTAAGTCTTGATAGCGCCGAATTTGCTCCTTAATTCTAGGTCCTTCCAGTAATAGCTACTGATTGATTATCTTGCCGGATCTTCAATGCTTCTTTTCCTTTTTAACTCTTTAATCAATCTCGGATTCGAGATTGATTATCTCGCCGGATCTTTAGTGCTTCTTTTCCTTTTGAATGCTTCAATCAATCTTTGATTGATTTCTTCCTTCAA